TTTAACAAAAAAACGAAGTCCAGATGACATGATTCAACCTTTTTTGTCTTTATGCTGTAGTTTTATTTTGACATGGAAGTGTTTTTATGAGTAAAACGTTTCTTGCACCTGTACAGAAAAACGGCCAAATCTCACATCTCATTGGTTTTTAACTGTTCTATCCAATAAAATGTCTATGTGATATGCAGAGCTATTCTTTTAGTTAAAATCTTTTTTTTAATTAAACATTTGGAAGATTTTTTTTAGTGGTTGCTCAGAATAAAACTGTTAAATAAGCATTGTTATAAAGGCCTGAAGGAAAACACTAAGCTGAAGTGACTCGCTTTTCTTTGGAATATTTGAAGCCTCGTGATCATCGAGCTTGTTGCTTGTTTTTTTCTGTTTTGTTTTGACTTTCGGCTGCTCCCTTCTTCAGGGGTCGCCACAGCAAACTAATTTGCACGATGATTTGGCAATTATTTTTACACCGAATGCCCTTCCTGACGCAACCACAGACCACCGAGCTACTACAACCCTCTGTGTGGAGCAGACAGCTGCAATCTAGTGCGCCTGCAGGAGCAGATGGTGGGGGTTAAGTGCCTTGCTCAAGGGCCCAGAGCGGGGCAAATGAGGGTGGAGACAGGTGTGGGCGTTTCACCTTTCCCACCTATATTTTGATGTCGGTATGGGGAGTTGAACCGGCGACCATCCAATCACAGGCCCACCTTCTGTAACCTCTGCACCACCACTCCCCAGCTTGTATGGACATGTTTTTGTAACGTTCTTATGTTTTTTTTATTAAAGGCACGTAACAACTTTGAAAGCACCCGTGCCGAGGTGGAGAGGCTGATGAAGAGGATTCGTTCTGCTGAAGATGACTTCAAAGCCCCCAGCTGCTTCACCATGGAGGGATATCTGTACATACAGGAGAAACGTGAGAAAAGAGAAGCTGATCACATTCAGTCAAACACAATCACACCGAGGCGTTACATATTTGTGTCACACAGGTCCGTTGGGGAGTGTGTGGACCAGGTACTACTGTACTTATGAGAAGAGTTCGAAGATGTTCACCATGAGCAACACAGAGACCAGACCCGCCAGCAGACAGGTGAGCTGATACCACCTATCAACACCTGCACACCCACAACCATTTTTGTACACCTGTCAAAAGATTATGGTATAGAAGATTTAGTAAGGTATAGTCTCTGTCAGTATGTCTGTAAACTTTCTTTTGTCACACCCATAACTTCTGATCTGCTCAAGATAAGTCATCAAAACTTCATACACATATGCACCATCACTAGATGGTGTGTCCTGCACACTTTTCATCCCCCAGCTTCAAGGTCAAGTTCAAAAGTCAAAGTTAAAAGAAGGTCTTTGCTTCATAATGTTGTATTGCTGTATACAGTAATAGTATGTTGACGCACGTATAATGTGCAGTACTTTTGTCCAAACTGCGCTGAAGTTTGTTTTAGGATTCCTGTCAGCTCAGAGGCTGACACAAACAGCATCCGCCACTACGACTAATTTAAATCTGTTCTTCACTAACAATAAAAGACACAAGTTACCTTTCTCATGCAGGCTGTTGTGAAGTTGTTACTAAATGTGTAATGTTCTGAAATGAACAGAACGGTGTGGTGAACGGCAATCCAGAGATGTTCAGGCTGCGCTCGTGTGTCCGAAGAAAAACGGAATCGATCGACAAACGGTTCTGCTTTGACATCGAGGTGGTGGAGAGGTGAGAGGGAACTCTTAGATACTTTGTGTCTGTCGTGATGACGTAGGATTATTTTTGGATCTAATAAATCAAGGTGTGGCTCCTTCTTTGAAGTCAAAGGAATCTATTTTTACTGGCAGACATGGCGTGATCACGCTGCAGGCGCTCTCGGAGGCCAACAGACGGCTGTGGATGGAGGCGATGGATGGAAAAGAACCTGTAAGGATACATTCGCCTCTGTAAAGATTAAATGAATCACAAAGGAAAAGAGAATACTCACGTTTTAATGACAGAATTAATCATCTGTTCTACTTTTCATTAGATTTACACTCTTCCTTCTCTGCTCAGTAAAAAAGAGGAGAGTAAGTATAAGTTTAAATTGTTCTGTTTTTTTAACTTGCAGTAATGGGAATGATTCTTTTGGAATTTTAGCTGTTTTTATTTATTTTACAGCATTTCTTAATGAGGCGGGCTTCAACTTTGTTAAAAAGTGTGTTGAGCTGATTGAAGCCAGAGGTATTTCTCCCACCCTGAATGTTTAAATGAGAACAAGAACTTTGATTACTATTTATTGCTTCTCATGATTATGTTTGTGTGTACACTGGCCTGCAGGCATCACCACCCTGGGGCTCTACAGGACGGGAGGAGTGAACTCTAAAGTTCAACGACTGATGACAAGTGTGTTTGGTATGTTCTCTTTCTGGCTTGGAGAGACTCATTTATTCCATTACTGTAAATAGAATGTATATTTAGAAATCCACCCCTGAATATCAGTTCTTTTTATCTCGTGTCTTCCAGCATCTGCAGCTCCCTCTGACATGCAGCTGGATGCAGAAACCTGGGACAACAAGACCATAACCAGTGGTCTGAAGGATTATTTCAGGTGATACATGCACAACAACTTTTCAACCCCTTTTTGTCCTCTGTCGCGAAACGAAGAGGGGGAACTGGAAATACGCTCGTACCTTCATCCATCCACGTTGTGACAATAATAACTTGAAAAATAAGTGAGGTACCAACTTCCATTTTGGTGTGTGGCTGCATTAGACTTAAGAAAGATTCCTGACAAAAATTGGGTTGCCACATCAAAATCCAAGATGGTCACCACCATATATATATATACAGTATTTATACTAATTACCATAATTGTTAGAGGAAACTGTGCTTTTATTTTTTTATATTGCTTGAATGTATAGTTTCCTCAAATGATTGAGGTTGCCGAAGAATAATCTATGGGGGGCAAGGCCACCATTGGCCACCCTCTGACTCCTTCATTGCACCTGGTGGTGGATAAAGTTACTCCCTCCACTCTCCAGAATCCGTCACTCTGCGCGGCGTCAGACAAGAAAAAACAAATGACCTCCCTCTGTTCTTCTCCACAGTGTAACTCCTACCCACTTGAATATCTTTAATCAAAAACATTTAGGTTTACATGCACTTGCATTCCCTGTTCAGTCCCAGTTCAGAAAACCACTCATCTGGAAAACTGCATTCACTCTTCTAATCCCTTAGAGTATAAGGGATACCGCTTGTTTAATTAAAAATGCTGAAGCATTATTATCCTGTAATCTTCATGCAGGTGTCTAGCAGAACCTCTGCTGACCTACAAGCTGCATAAAGAATTCATCAAAGCTGCAAGTAAGATCCTGCTGCCTCTTTGAACGGGCCAAGTTCACAAATAAATGACAGCAAATAAATATTATGTTTTCAAAAAGTGTATCTGTGATCAAATGAAAAACGTCATCCTCCTTCCTCTGACTTTCTTCTGTGTTTTGTTTCAGAGTACGATGACCACAGGCACAGAGTGAGAGCCATTCACGCTTTCATCTACAAACTACCAGAAAAAAACAAGACAATGCTGGACATCTTGACCAAACACCTCCTCAAGTACGTCCTGGTTTGATTCAACACAAAACATATTCATATTAGTCAAATACATTTAAACTTATGTGTGTGTGTCTGTGTGTGTGTGTAGAGTGTCCTCTCACAGCGACCAGAACCTGATGACCGTGTCCAACCTGGGAATGATCTTTGGCCCCACGTTGATGAGGTCCCAGGAGGAGACGGTGGCCGCCATGATGAACATCAAGTTTCAGAACATTGTGGTGGAGATCATCATCGAAAACCACGACAAGGTGGGTTTGCAAGCACACACACTGTCACTGTACGCAGACCCTGCTAACACACACGTGTTCTGTGTGTCTGTGTCAGATGTTCGGCTCAGCCCCAGACCTGTCAGTGCCGTTACCTCCAGCTCCGTCCACTCGGTCCACTCCTCGGAGGAGGAAAGCCATCTGTCTGTCGTCTGGGAAGAGGAGAGCTCGTCTGTATCCTCCTGCTCTCTGCCTGGCAGACAACGACAGTGAGTCGAGGCTCAATGGGATTTACTTGTCTAAATAAAGGTTGAATGAGTCTTTCTGTCCGTTTCTTACAGATTACAGCAGCAGCTAATTAGTTCACTCACTCTGCGTATTTTAAAATATTACCTTCACTGCATACCTTTTGTTCTGCAGAATTTACTACATTTCATTATGTTAGGCTTTAACTTCTTTCAGATTAGGATTTAAAATGTTTTTGTTTGGCTCACTGAGCATCGAAGCAGCAACTCTCAAAATAGTTTTTGGTTTTGGTTTTTAATTAACACAGAAAACCACACTCAGTAACAGCATACAGTAGTCCCTCGTTTATCACAGGGTTTTCTGTTCTCAGTCCACCCACGATAAGTGAAAAATGGCGAAGTAGGAATAATAGTACAAGTAGTGAGTAGTAATTTATTTTAGTATTTATATACTTATACTATACTATACTTTTATACTTAAACACTTCCCACGCTCTTGCAATATTCTAAACAATGTTTCTAAACTCTAAATGCACTAAAAGAGCACAGCATGTCATGGTCTTCACACTCTCTGCCATCGCTCTCAGCCACGCCCACTTCTCCATTGCAGAGCGGATATCATGACAGGCTGCAGACAGGCTGCAGGAGGGAGCACATGTGGGCTGCACAAAGGTGCAGCAGGTGCTAAATAATTTAAAATAAGTTATTTTAAAGAAAAAAATCCATGACGATCTTGCGGCTCATCCATCAATCAGCCAATTGTGTGTCATGTCCAATCTTAGTTTGAAAAATCGTGAAAGAGCGAGAAGTAGCGAGAGACTTCTGTACACCAAAAACTGTTTCTGATTGAAGGCATTTAGCCAAAGAGTCAAAATGATTTATCAAAAGTGCAGGTTTGAAAATAATAAACTCGGCAGAATACTCACGAGGTGATCATCTCCTCAGCTCCTCAATATCTGCTATGACCAACAGACGCCATGAAAGTCAAGTTTTCATCCTTTACGTGTTCTTGGCGTGTTGTTTGAATGTTAGAAAACTGAACTTGTGCTGGCTGCACATTTCCATGACCTGCAGCAGAACTGAAGGAACTGACTCAAACCTTAAGGGTTTCACTTTTTTTTACCAGGAACTGTACTACTAAACCTTAAACCTCAGTGGTGGGAATTTTCACAACTTTAAAAGAAACATTCTCTGGACTTGCATTTATCAGATTTTTTACTTGTAATGGAACATGTCAGTGTTGAAATGTATTTTAAACCTAAGCAGATTCTCACTGAGCTGTGGCTGTTGGGAACTAGATTTAGACAAAAATATTAGAAAATACACAAATTCTTACTGAGGATCAGACTGAAAAAAAATTACACCAATGAATTTGCATATATGTTTACAAAAAACAGCTCTAGAGCCATAGAAGTACAGAGACTAAGTTGGGACATATTTCAGGCACGTTTAAGACCCTGCAACTTTGCATAACTTTTCGTACGAGCTTCTGCAGCTCACTCAAGGAAAGTGAGAAGCCTTCCAAACGTTTCAGGAACTTTTAGAAAGGCCTTTGTCCAACAGGCAGCCCAGGGAAACAGACTTCAAGGTAAAAGAGCTCAGTTCTTGTTTTTTTCATCGTCTGTGATCGGTGAACACACATTCCAAGAAGTGAAGACAGGAAGTGTCCCCAAAGATTTTTAAGGTCACTGACAGTAAGCCTGTCGCAATAAGCAATAAATCAATTAATCAATTAATCACATGATAAATGAAAATTATCTACCTCATTTTCATTTTTTTGGCTTTATCGTTTCTTCGTGTCTCTTCCTACTGAAGACACTGGATGACAAAAGGCTCAACTCCAGTGCTCTTCACTGACCCCTCCCTTTCTATTTTCTAAATCTGTTTTAACCATCCAAAATTGTGTTTTTGGATGGTTAAAAGCAGCTAAACTGAGAAGCTAAGCTACGAAATAAGCTAACAGGCCGAACTCGGGAAAAAACCTCCGTCTTGTCGAAGCTCCAAAATTCACAGATGAAACCTGTGCCTTTGTGTAAAAAGTTTTTCTCTGCAAAAAGAAACTGAGAACTGGTTTACTGATTAAAAAAAAATATATTATTAAAAGCTTTGTGTGACAAATGCTATGCTACAGAGCTCAAACCACACCGAGTGTCTGCCATTTTGAGAACCGGGAAAAAAGGAACAAGAGACAGCCCATGCCACGTCAAGGGGCCTCCTTCCCCTTTTTCCTAAAGAGACACGCTGCTCGCTCCCTCACTATCCATCCTTCAGTTCAAACAGTCTTATACCAGTGGTCAAAAACGGTACTACACTCAAAATAAAACTAACCAACATTTCTTCTAAAATTTGACAATAATTACTATCCATCCATCCATCCATTAGCTTTACCAGCTTATTCGATTTTGGGTCACGGGGGTCGCCGGTGCCCATGTCCAGCAATCGCTGTGAGAGGGGCGGGGTACACCCTGGATGGGTCGCAAGTCCATCACAGAGCCACATAGAGACAAATAACCATTCACTCGCTCACTCACACCTAGGGACAATTTAGAGTTACCAATCAGCCTAACATGCATGTTTTTGGTCTGTGGGAGGAAACCAGAGCACTCGGAGAAAACCCACACATGCATGGAGAGAACATGCAAATTCCACCCAGAAAGGCCCCTGGACCAGGGTTTGAACCAAGGACCTGCTCACTGAGAGGCAGCAGCTCTAACAGTTGTGCCACCATGCTGCCCACAATAATTACTAATTATTGTCAAATTTCAAACAATATTATCAGTTATCAATAATTTCTGAGACAATTAATTGCCCAGCAAAATTGGTTATTGTGACAGGCCTAACTGACAGTCACTTAAGACTTTTCTGTTCCATATGTACTAATATTGTACTAGTTTTAATTTATTTAAACTGGAGTCAGTTTCAGAGAAAACACGTTTTCTGTAGTTCACTCTGTGGAAAGTGATTTTTTTTAAATTACTGTATTCGTAACATATTTTTCACAGTTAGATTGGACTTTGAAACAGAATATTTCCAGATGTTGCTGTATTTTTGCGCTCATGTCGTTATTTTGTTTGTTCATTAGTGCTTTGTGTTCGTTTCTGATCAGAGAATAAAAGACAGAAGTTCCTGAGATCATTTGTCTCAGAAACTGTGAGAGCTCCAGAACAGCTCTGCAGCCTGATCATCAACCTCACTGCTGTTTTTGTCTCGCAGTGGGTTTGTAACGTTTGACTTCCTGTCCTCCGTCAGGTGACACGTTCAGTAGCAGCTCCAGCACTCCAATGGGCAGCCAGGAGTCTTTGTCCTCGCACTCCTCTGAGAAGAACGAACTGGCTCAGACTTCTCCTCCATCTTCTCCTGCTGCCCAGCCCAGCCCACCCACCACATCCCCTCCTGCAGCATCCTCCTGCTCTCCTCCACACGACTCCTCCAATGAGAAGGATCAGAGACATCCTTCAGACAGCCCCCCCTCCCACCTCACAGCCTCTGCTTCCTGGACCTCAGCTCCCCTCTCTGAGCAGACTTCCTTAATGTCCTCCTCCACATCCTCTTTACTCTCTGCAGTGGAGAGGTCATTCAACAGGAACTCAATAGCCTCCTTGTCTTCTGTGAAAGAGTCAAGATCTCCATCCAGAGCGTCTGCGTCCACGGCCTCTATCCAGAACCTGTCAGCAGAGCGTCCCTCGTGTGTCAGAGAGGGTGGACCGCTCCAGAAAGCATCCTCAGTTTCATCTCTGAAGAGCCCTCACTCAGAGGATCAGAAAAAAACGTCCTCTGTTACCATCACAAAGAGCAGAGAGACAAACTCCACCTCTGCTCAGCAGCACAGCGCTGCCTCTTCCTCCTCCTCCTCCTCCTCTTCACTGTTTCCTGGCCAGCTCTCTGCAGCATCCTCCCTCACCTCCCTGCACATCTCTGAGGGTACAAACAACTTTTGTTTTCAGGAGAAGTCAAAGTTGAAACATCTGCCTGTTTGAAGTTAAAGTGTCTGATTCTGATGTCGTGTTTGTTTAAGATTATAAAAGCTGTCACGGATCGGTGCAAAGTCTCATGTCACTGGACCAACAGGAGGGAGCGAACTCACATAAAACACACCTGCGCTGCAGCTCCAACCTGGTCCCCAAACACCCTGCAGCCGCATCCAGCAACGGTTACTCCCGACCTGCGTCACTGTGAGTCTCACTCGTATGAAGATAAATCGGTCTCAAAAGCAGTCACACAAGCATATAACAAGATTTACGAATTACGCATTTTAACAAACACGTAAATCGTTTTTCAAATCTACACATTTAAAATCGCACAAGTAGGAAAATTCACATGCTTACAAATTGGAAAATAAACGTGCACCTGCTGTGCACAGATCAGCTGCCTGTAAATGTGACTTTTGAGGCTTTCTTAAAGTGATGCTTGAAAGTTTGTGAAGACTTTATTTTCTACATTTCTGGGTAAATTTGACCTAAAACATCATCAGATTTTCACACAAGTTCTAAAATAGATAAAGAGAACCCAGTTAAACAAATGAGACAACAATATTATACTTGGTCATTTATTTATTGAGGAAAATGATCCAATATTACATATTTGTTAGTGGTAAAAGTATGTGAACCTTTGCTTTCAGTATCTGGTGTGACCCACTGTGCAGCAATAACTGTAACTAAATGTTTCCAGTAACTGTTGATCAGTCCTGCACACACACTTGGAGGAAGTTTAGTCCATTCCTCCGTACAGAACAGCTTCAACTCTGGATGTTGGTGGTTTCCTCACATTAACTGCTGCTTCGTGTCCTTCCACAACATCTGGATTGGATTAAGATCAGGACTTTGATTGGCCATTCCAAAATATGAACTTTATTCTTCTTTAACATTCTTTGGTAGAACAACTTGTGTGTTGAGTCATTGTGTTGCTGCATGACCCACCTTCTCTTGAGGTTCAGTTCATGGACAGATGTTCTGACATTTTCATTTAGAATTCTCTGATACAATTCAGAATTCATTATTCCATCAATGATGGCAAGCTGTCCTGGTCCAGATGAAGCAACACAGGCCCAAACCATGACACCACCACCACCACCATGTTTCACAGATGGGATAAGGTTCTTCTGCAGGAATGCAGAGTTTTTCTTTCTCCAAATTTAACACTTTTCATTTAAACCAAAAAGTTCTATTTTGGTCTCATCCATCTTCAAAACATTCTTCCAACAGTCTTCTTGTCCACGTGATCTTTAGAAAACTGCAGACGAGCATCAACGTTCTTTATGGAGAGCAGTGTCTTCCTCCTTCAACCCTGCCATGCACACCATTGTTCAGAGTTCTCCTGATGGTGGACTCATGAACATCAACATCAGTCAATGTGAGAGAGATCTTCAGTTGTTAGAAGTTACTCTCTGGTCCTTTGTGACCTCACAGACTTTACACACCTTGTTCTTGGAGTGATCTTTGTTGGTCCATCACTCCTGGGGAGGGTAACAATGGTCTTGAATTTCCTCCATTTGTACACAATCAGTCTGAATGTGGATTGGTGGAGTCCAAACTCTTTACAGATGTTTTTGTAACATTTTCCAGCCTGATGAGCATCAACAGCTCTTTTTCTGAGGTCCTCAGAAATCTCTGTGTCATGATATACTTCCACAAACATGTTGTGAAGAGCAGACTGTGATAGATCCCTGTTCTTTAAATCAAACAGGGTGTCCACTCACACCTGATCATCATCCCATTGATTGAAAACACCCGACTCTAATTTCACCTTTAAATTAACTGATAATCCCAAAAGTTCACATACAAAGTACTTTTACCACTCACAAATATGTAATACTGGATCATTTTCCTCATTAAATAAATGACCAAGTATAATATTTTGTCTCATTTGTTTAACTGGGTTCTCTCTTTATCTACTTTTAGGACTTGTGTGAAAATCTGATGATGTTCTAGGTCGAATTTATGCAGAAATGTAGAAAACTATAAAAGCTTCAAAACGTTCAAGCACCACTGTATTTCCAGATCCACAAAGGTGATGCTGCGATTAAGGCTGGTGAAAAGCTGGGACATAAGATAAGATAAAGATAAGATAGAACTTTATTGATCCCGTAGGACATCTAGCTTTACCAGATTTACTGAGTTATTGGGAATATACTTATTTCTGACTTGTAGCTCATAGCCTCTATATTAAAACACGTAGACTTCCATTGACGTTACTGGATTCAAAAATGTTCATTTTGTGGACTGCATGGTTGAAATAAACAACCTAAAATGAGCAGGTTATTCTTCATGTCGAAAATTTATCAGGAAAAATATACAGTATGTATTACAAAGAAAATATATTTTCCTGGTAGTTTTATTCCACAAGAAGAATAACTTACCCATTTTTAGTTCATTTTAGCTGTAGTCCACAAAATTACACAAAAAAGTACATTTTTCCAGTAGTCTTTGCAGTTCTGTGCTTCAGTTTTATTTAAAAAAATAACAACAGAAAATCAGAACTTAGTCCTGTGATCTGATTCCAGGAACAATGTTGTTTCATTTCTGGATCTGAAGTGTTTCAGGAACTGATCCTCCCACGTACTTGCAGTAGAAACTAGAAATGTACCTTTAATGTTTCACGTGCGGTGATACTTTTTGTGGTTGTTGTTTCACAGATTATCAGTCAGACAACCGCAGCGAGAGAGTTCAGTGTTCTCCTCTGCGTTAGACATCTGCCCCTCAGGAAGGTTTGTTCTCTTTAATCCAACTTAAAGCCACAACTCGTAAAGTCAAACCCATGAAACAGATTTTTCTCTTTCTACAGAGAAGCTAAAGCTCTGTACTCGTGTGAGGCAGAACACAGCCATGAGCTGAGTTTCCCACAGGGGGCGCTGTTCAACAATGGTAAGACCTGTTGGCGGTTGTTGCTTCTAGACTTTAAGATCAGTAACAGAATAAAAAAAACTTAACATGTCTCTGTGTTTATAATATAATAATCTGTGGTGTCTAATAATAAATCCAGATTTCACCGTTAGAACGAACAGAAACAAAACTGTCTCGCTGGCGTTTCGTTTCAATCACGATGTCAAAATTACATTTGACTGATGTTAAATGAAAGATGTTGTTTTTTTGGTTTTTTTTATTACACTGAGTTTGAGTTGTTTGTGTTTCCAGTGTGTCCGTCTGTGGAACCGGGCTGGCTTCAGGCAACATATAAAGGTAAAACGGGCCTGATACCTGAAAACTACATCGTTTACGTCTGACAGACCCGATGGTACCAGCAGCACTTCACAGAACTCCAATCTTCGGGATTATTACCATAATTCTTTAACTGTGACAGTTATCATTGACTACTGAGGTGGATTAGGAATAATCTGCCTGTTGTATGAAATCTTAGAGGGAGTTATTAATCCTAAAGACGAGTGGATGTTGTTTTATTTCACGACTGATTTAGCTCCAGAGTGCTCACCGGCTCATTTTATGTTATAAAGTTTTCAAATGTAATCAGGAAACGTGTCAAAGGTACATGGAAACAGTATTTTTATTAATCTTAATAATTTATGTTTAACGTTGTAATATTCTGCCTTTAATTCATGAATGTTGACTGAACTCTTTATTTTGTGGAGCTCTTCCTGTCAGTTCTCCTACTGTCTGAAGAAAAATAAACTATGTAAAGATTCTGCTCATCTTGTTTATTCTGTCCAGACGTGTATAAAATAACTTTGTATTTATAACTGCACTTGTATCGACTGTCACAAAGCTTGGCACATTTTACTCCTTTTAAAATCTTTATTGGATTTTCAAATACAGAAAGGAATAAGAAGCATAGATTAGAATGTAAAACAGCTGGGTGAATAAAACAGTTTACACCCAAGGAGCAGGGAGGAAGGTGTCCTGCAGACATCAACCTACTAACAGGAGCTCCATCCGGTTTTCATCCTGATGTTAGTTTTCTTTCTGTCAAACTTAGACTCAACTGTTTCATTTTTACTCTTTAATGTTGATTCAAACGATCCTTCAAATATATGTGAATATAAACACTGTTGCAGCATGAAGTTTGTTAGAACAGAAAAGTAATCTAAATTAACTGAACTCGTTTGTGTGCATGAAGAAAGTCAAACAGGTGTTTTAATATTTGCTTAAAAAACAAGACTGTCAGAAGTTCAACGTACTTATTAAGGGTCAGTGTTTTAACGTGCTCTTTGTGACGGTGCTGTTTCGTCACTAACTCGGTGTCTTCACTGTACGTTCAGCAGAACGACCTTTCCCACAGAACGAGGAGCTGACAGCAGCGTCATGGAGAAGGTGAGCTGAAATCTCCCAGCCTTCCCAGCAGTCCGTCAAGCGTCTCCATGTTCTGGGATTTTTCCTCCAGCAGCTCGTATCGCAGACTAGAGATGTCCTGTTTGATCTCTTTCAACTCACCTGCTTCAAAACAGGCACAACAATCAATTATAAATAAATAAACTTAGGTAATTTTTTTATTTTTCAGAACCAAAGAGCATGGTGATAAGCTAAAGATGAAATTAGGAGGAAAAGAAAGTCCCCTCAAAAGAGGTAGAAGAGGAGAGCACAAAGTAAAATTATTATGAATGTTTCCCAGAATCCTCTGCTCTTTGTATGGAAGCACATATCTGCCATTCTACGTCCACAATAATAACTGGTGTCTGGTGTTTATGACTTGGATTGTGAACACTGCAGGAAAAAGGGACTCACGTCTGATTTTCTTTTTCACACACATGACCCACATGGGATTTTTTTTACGTCACAATTCTCAAGCGTGGTCAAGCGTGAACTCTTACAATGCACCACAGTATATGAACTTATGAACTATATGAACTTGGTGTTGTTAATATTCCATATATTAGAATTTATATCCATCCATTCTCTTCCGCTTATCAGGGGAATTCCAAGGCGTTCCCAGGCCAGCCGAGAAGTCCCTCCAGCGTGTCCTGGGTCTTCCTCTGGGTCTCCTCCCGGTGAGACGTGCCCAATTTATATATATGTATATATATATATATATATATATATATATAT